CAGAAGAGCCAGGAACTGCTCCAGAACAACCAGGTCCAGCAACTGGTCTTTGGTGTGCTTTTCGGATCTCAGCCATCGCCTACTAAAGTCATGGAGTCGGCTGCAAAATCCTCGAGGACCTTCATTCTCCCAGTGTTGGATAAAGTTCCAGGGCTGAACTTCAGAAGGGAGGATGGTTTCCTCCTCCAGGATCTTCTGCCCAGTTCTTCTCCAGGGCTTCCCCACCTTCCCAGGCTGAGCAGCTGCAGGGCCTTTTTTGCTTCCCTCCTTGGCAAAAGTTTGTGTCTCCATCCTATCTCTGTCTTGCAGAGCAACTCCAGATGGCTCTAAGGACTCTGGTGGGTCTCCAGATGCCTTTTCCTTCACGGGACCATTTCTAGGGCTGCAGGACGGATCCCTGCAAGTTTTTCGCTCCTTTTTCTTTTGTCCAAGAGAAACCTTTGGCTTGCAAAGATTTCAAATGGCTTCCAGTTTCTGTATCTGAGATGGAAAGAAAAAGAAAAGCCAAGAATTAGAAAGTGGAAATTCAGCCACTGAACAACCTTCACTCAACCTCAAGCGGCTCATCCCAGAACAGAGCAGAGGTCCCCCCAAGCAGGGCCGGGAAGGAGGCAGCTGGAGAGGCCGCCCCGCTTCTCTCTCCCTCCGGAGACAGGATCGAGCCCTCGAGGAGCCTGGTCCGACTCCTGCCTCTTCCTCGCCCGGCTTCTCTCCTCTCCTGCTGGGCCTCTGCAAGGATGACCCTCCTTTCCCCTCGCCCTATCCGGGCTTTTCCCCGGATCCCCGCCGCCTTCCTGGGATCCCCGCTTCCCTCTGCAGGGAGAGGGCGGCTGGGGAGCATGGGACCCAGGAAGAGCCCCCCGCTCACCCGAGGCACGTCTGGATGTCCCCCCGCAAGACTCTCGCGCAGCCTCTGCGCCTCCTGCGGAGCCCCAGGGGTTAAGGAGAGCGAGTGGGTGACGTCCTAGAGAGGCAAGGCTCAGTGATGTCACTTCCTTCGCCGCCTCTCATACAAAGTCAGCCGTGACGTTCGCCCTTCAGTGGGCCAATGGGGAAGCGCCTGGAGCTTCCTTCCCTTGGCAGAGGGCGCCCCCTGGTGGATTTGGGGCAAAGTGCCAAGGTCTTAGAAAGCGAGGGAAAGAGAAGCGCATGGGAGAGGGAAGAGAGAGGGCAGGGATGATGGGCATGGGAGTAGGGGGAAGAAAGGCCCCCTTGTCAAACTCTTCGACGTCTGTGCTTCTTTTCCCCCTTTGATTTTAACCCAAATGCATTGAAGGAGGTTTTCGTCTTTTTTCTGCTGCGTTTCTAGAGCGGTTTGGTTATTTCTTATAAAGAGTGCAACTCCACCTCCATCTCTTTCATTCGGTCTGCTTCTTATTTATTTAGAGAATATAAGAGAGAATAGCCGAGAAGAGAAGTTACAATAAAACAGCCCGTTGTTGCTGAGTGAGGGCGGGCTCCCGCCTGAGGAGATCTGCGCTCTGATTGGTTGCTGTGGGTGGAAATGGGGCGTTTCCCTTTTTCCCGCCTTTTTCTTCTGGGCCCCGTTTGAAATTTACCTCAGGATGTTCCTGACTGTCTTCTCTGCTGCGAGTGTTAAATACATTTATATTGATACAAAACTAGAAGTTTGTGTCCGTGTCTCCCTTTTCCTTTGGTCACCAGCTGCATGTTTCCTCCACATTAAACCTTTTCAGTTGCACCTTCCAGTAGTGGGTTTCATCCCACCAAGTTTCAGTAATTGGAACAATCTCACACCTGCCTTTGGCTTTCATGTTTGCACAATCAATGACGTGCAATAGCAATAGCAGTTAGACTTATATACCGCTTCATAGGGCTTTCAGCCCTCTCTAAGCAGTTTTACAGAGTCAGCATATTGCCCTCAACAACAGGCTGGGTCCTCATTTTACCCACCTCAGAAGGATGGAAGGCTGAGTCAACCNTCCACCTCCACCTCTTCCATTCGGTCTGCTTATTATTTATTTATAGAATAGGAATAAAATAGAACAGAAATTTTCTTTGTGGCAACTCCTGAGATATGAGAACACAGTTATCATCTCTCCCCTAGTCCTTCTTTTCATTAAACTAGACATACCCAGTTCCTGCAACCGTTCTTCATGTGTTTTAGCCTCCAGTCCCCAATCATCTTTCTTGCTCTTCTCTGCACTCTTTCTAGAATCTCCACATCTTCTCCCTTTCTTATACAAAACAGAAAGAAAAATAGAAATAAGAAATTAAAGGAAGGAGAAATAGAGGTGTAGAAAGTCGGCACCCACGTTTCTCCTGGAACAATTAAATATTCTAAGAAATATTAAAAATGCAGAATAGTATACCTCCCTGGATGAGGGAAGTAGAAAAGGAAGTTTGAGGTACAATGGGAGGGAAAAAAGTTCACTTCATTTTAGCACAGGGCAAAAAATATATATTCTTTTTTTAAAAAGCCATTCCAGCCTGACAATTCAATCTAATCAACAAAAACAAAGTCTTTTAGGCCCATTTCTTTTGAACACTTTAAATGTGAAGATATCCAATTTAATAACTGGAAAAGCGCACAATAGTTTCAAACACCCTGTTATGGCTGAGTGAGGACGAGCTCCCGCCTGAGATGGATCTGCGTTCTGATTGGTTGCTGTGGGTGGAAAGGTGTTTCCCTTTTTCCCGCCTTTTCCTTCTGGGCGCCTTTTGAGATTTACCTCAGGATGTTCCTGACTGTCTTCTCTGCTGCGAATGTCAAATACATTTATATTGATATAAAACTAGAAGTTTCTGTCAGTATCCCTCACTTCCTTTGGACAGTGTCTGTGCAATTCCGCCACATTAAATCTCTTCAGTTGCACCTTCTAGTAGTGGGTTTCCTACCACAAATTATTAATTCTATAATGCTGAAGAACATTAAATTTGTTATTTGTAATTTAAAGCAGGGACCTAATCTGGTTGCCACCCAAAGAACAACATTTCAGGTGTGGGTTCTTTATTTTTTTCATTTTATTTGCATCTGGGAACATTAAAGATCTTTGTGGAATAGCAAAAAAAGACAGTGGCTTTACAAAGCGAAAATCATGACTGTTTGTTTGAACAAGAAATGCAAATTCTGGATGAGAAAAAAAAATATTTTAGCAAGAAAATGGATGGAGCATTTTTAAATGAGTGGAAATTGAAGTTTCAATTTGGCATTTTATTGAAAAAACTTGTATAATTACTTTTAGTGGGTAAACAAACAATCAGATGGCATGAATCATTTTTATGGCCCAACCCAAAATTAACCTAATTGTACTGATAACATTTTGGGGTTCCAATTTGACTAGATGCGA